CACTTATTGCTCCAATTTTTCAATGGTTATAAAACTGTTAAGGTTTTTTATTTCCTCTTAAATCAGTTCCTCCTCCACCCACCATAGAATTTTGTTCATTTTATATGTTTGGGCTCTTCTCTCTCTCTAACCATATGAAGAAGTTTTTTCAAAGAACCAACTTTTAATTTTATTTTATTTTATTTTATTTATTTTTGCAGAGAAAGGGGAGGGGAAAGAGAGAGAGAAAGAGAAACATCAGTTTGTTGTTTCACGTATTTATGCATTTCTTAGTTGATTCTTGTATGTGCCATCACTGGGGATCAAACCTGCAACCTTGGCTTATAGAGATGACTGAGCTAAGCTGCCAGGGCCCAAAGAACCAACATTTTGCTTTGATCTTCAAACTCTACAAAAGGGTATACAATGAAAAGGAGGGCTTCTTCTCAGCAGAACTCAGACCTTTTTTCCAGAGGCAATGACTATTTTTTTATATCCTTTCAAAGACTTTTTTTATTATACAGTCCTTTTATTTTTACTAGAATAGAATGGACCATATGAGACATAGTGATCAGCACACCCCTTTTGTTTTGGTTGTTTTACTTTTTTTTTTACATTAACATCATTCTTTCTAATGACAGAGTATTCCAGTGCATGGATGCATCCTTGCATTATTTATTTAAAAGAAGTTAAGCTTTTATACCAAATAAAAATGTTCTTATTTGTTTGAAGTACCCTAAGAACCCGTTCTGTTACTCCTGCTCTGGTAATGGACGTCATCACTTCAGAGAGCTCCAGTTGGCCCTCCATGTGCATTATACTTGCTAACTAAAAGTGAAATGTTTGTTTCTCCATAACATCCTCCTTGGAAGAGTATATATTCTATTTAAGTATTTTTAATTTAAAGACAAAATTATTTTGAAAATTTAGATGCTATACAATGTTTTAAATCTCTTTTTCTTTTGTAACTTATCCTAGTATGAGGAATACATGCAATTTTATCTTCTTCCTCATGGCCGCCCTGTTTCCCAATGCTGCTTATCTAAAGCCCATCTTTTCATGTGTATTTGTAATGCTACATTTATCATTGCTAAATGTGCATATATGTGCTTCTGGATTTTTTTACTGTGTTTCAGTGGTTGATCTATTCATAATACCTGTGGCATAGGCATTATGATATCACTTTTTAAAATCTTTTTATTTTTAAATAAATTTGGACTTTAAAAAGAGTTGGAAAATAGTACAGAAAGTTTCTGTATACCCTTCACTCAGCTTCCCCTAATGTTAACATCTTTACATAATTATTAAAACTAAGAAGTTGACTTACTGTCATAGTACAGTTAACTACATACTATTTCACTTAAAAAGGCTTTGTATAGTATTTTAATGGAGGTAGGTGTATTCCTCCTGCTCTTCTATTTTTGTTAGTTTAGTTTTTTTCAAATGTCTAGCTGCAGAAAACAAAATAAAAGCAAACTTTATGTAGTAATTTTCTGGGACTATGTAAAATTTATAAATTAACTTAGGGAGAAACAACATCCTTATACTGAATCTTCCTATACAAGAACAAGGTATATCTTCCCTTTTGTTGAAGTCTACCTTAATATCATTCAGAAGTATTTTATAGTTTTCCTTATATATGTTTTGGATACTTGGTTCATTTTATGCCTAAGTGCTTTATTATCTTCTTAAATTATAAAGGGGATCATTCATTTCATCTCCTATCTGGTTTCTCTTTGTACCTATAAAGGAAACATTCCTGTATATTTTGTGCTATGGTATATTACTAAATTATTTTATTATAGTAATATTTAATTGGTTCTTTTGGATATTCCAGGTATATAATTCTATCACCTGCCAGTAATATTCTCTTCTAATTTCATTCTTTTGTGTTGACTAGTATTATGAGAAATATAGTGATAAAAATGGGCATTCCCTGACTTTAGGAATATATCTAATTTTTCCACATTAAGTATGGTGCTGGCTTTGGGGCTGATACATATCGTGTTAAAGAAGTCTTCTTTTCTATTCACTATTTTCAACAAGAATGGGCATTGATTTATAAAACATCTTACCTTTGGGATAATCATTTTTCTCTATGTAGGTCTATTAATATGTTAAATGATAATCAATTTTCTAACAGTGATTTGCATTGTAAATTTTTCATCTTTAGGGGAAGGCCAGTTTTGATAAATATATTTTCTAGTAAATTATTTTGTTTAGGTTTTCAAATTTATTTGTGTGCAGTTGAGCAAAATAGTCTTTTGTGATTGATTCTTTTGGTTTCTTCTCTTTCTGTTGGTATTTTTCTCTTATTCATTACTATCTAAAAGTGCTGGCAAATACATCATCTTTTTTTTTTCATTCATTAAAACAAAACAGTAATAGCAACTTCACATGTAACATTTTTTAAAAAATGATCTCAAACTTCTTGAATTAGTAATGATGAGTCTTCCACAGTTAATTCTAAATGAGTATCCCCTGCCTTCCTGAAATATTTCTCTCTCCTTGCATTAATTTCTTAGGATACTTCTAAATTTGTTTTCCAGTGGACATTTGTATAAAAGTCTAGATAACTGTGCTTTTGCTTTCTTCTTCTTTCCCCTACTCTTATGGGGTGGTGATCTCTTCAGTGGGCGTTTTTACTACAGAAAAACAAATACGGATATTTGTATACTGTCAGTAAAGTGAAATATTCAGAGGTTTTTCCCATTTTATAAATTTTGATTTTTTAAATGTTGTTGAGTGACTTGCATTTAAGCTGCATTTGATGTGAAATTCTTGTGCTTGTATAAAAGGCATTCTGAAGTAAATTTATGATTTCTCAAATTTTGCCTAAAGCAATTTTGAGTTAGGGAGGGATGGCCACAATATCCTAAAAGCATATAAGGTAGACTATGTATTACTCCACTAAACAGCTCATTTTTCTGGTAAAATTATATAAAAGATTTGCTTTTTAGAACAGAAATAACTGTAATGATTGTCATTCTGGAAAGGAAAGAAAAGATGACAGAATGTTTTAATTGCCCATCTGAAGGGCTGAATGTTTTTGCTTCTATCAAAGAGCACTTTTAATAGTTTTGGCTCCTCTTGCCCATCTGGCTCTTTTTGTGATTGTGTAAGGCAGAATACCCCCTCTCTCTTAACACACCTATCTCTGTGTTATTAACCTTTCCTCTTATTTCGTTTTATTATTTTAGTGCAAAATTACCTGTTAAAATTTTATTTGAAATAAAGAATTTTAGGACTTCAATTCTGTCAGATATCCACCTCTGTAACATGGCTTTTAATGTACTATGTATTCCAGGACTGCTTATTAATGATATGGTGTAAAAATTTCTCCTTCATTTTTGAGATGTCTCCTCTGTCATTTGCAAGAGGGTGAATTACTTCTTCACCTCTTGTCCATTGGTGGGGGGTTGGAGGGCACAAGGTCTTCTAACCGTAGATCAACAGTAAGTCTTAATAAGGAAGTTATGTTACATACATAGTTTCATAATATAACTTATATTTACATTGTACTTTTTAATCCTGCCTTTCTTTCTTAATTCTAACCATATCCCTGTAAATTATATTTGAGCACGTAGTAAATGTCCATTTTACAGTTGGTAAAATGAATTAAAAAGAAGGGGCAAAAAGGTTAAATCACAGCCAATCCTGAAATTAAGACCCAGGTCTCCATATAAAAGTCTAGTGCTCATTCTTTTCAATCGTCAAGACTTCTGTGAGTGATCCCCACCTTCCAGTACTTCCTTTCTTCCTCAGGTGACAGTGGGTTGTACCAGGTATAGCCATTGGAGAACTGACTAGACCTGAGTCCCTTGATTTCCCTTGTTGGTGAACTCCAATATTGTCCTGACTAGCCAGTGTTACAAAATAGGTATGCCCTATTTTGTATAGTGGATTTTATTACAGAAGAATTTTTCATGTCAGGATTTTTAAATGTTGCTTAAACACAAATTTTGCATTACTCTTTACCTCTTAAAGAATTATGATAGGCAGATTTTATTTATTCCAAAGTGAGTTTGGGATTAAACTAAATAGAGAATTAAGGTCTTCCTAGCTTGGTTAGTCTCAATAGAACTCCTAGCATTCTATATTTCTTCATGCCAAGGACCTCTTATTACCTGGCTGTCTTCTCTGTATTTTCTTTTCTCCACTCTTTTTTCAAAGTCATATGATTAACCGCCAGTCCCTGTTTCACTTCTCTTTGAAAATCTCTACTCCTAATCCATTTTGGACAATCTCTAATCCATTTTCTACAGGTGTCTTTTGGCCTTGGTCTGAGCACAGTGAGTTCTAAGACCTCATATGCCAAAGTTTGGCCTATTATAGTCATCCTTTTGAATAAATGTAACAGTCTAACTTTATATTAGTAATTCTTATTTATCATCTTCCTATCAAAAAAGATTTGAAGTCTCCATCTAATGCTCTCCTGTGTGTCCATTTTATTAAACGACTGCCTTTTAATGAGGCCTGCTCAACTTGAGAACCGCTCCATGGATGGTGTTTAAGACTAGCTTTTCATCAAATGAAAAGTGGTGGAAGGTGACTACCCCAGCTCATCAATCCATTCTGGCTCTAAAATTCTGAGACTATTGCACAAAATTCAGAATTAAATTAATGTTACTAATATCAATAAATTTCTTTATCAATAATTATATTTCCTAGGGTTTGCCTGTTAAACCAGGTAAAATATCTTTAAAACCCTGCAAAAATTCTAACCTGATAAAAATCTCATCTACTGTGAACTCGCAGATGTGTTCAGACACTACCGAAGTTCTCTTCTATTTTAATCCTGTTCATCTTCGACGAAGACTCCATTGTTCCATCCTCTTAGATGCTATTACTTGAACAATGTTGCTCTGAGACTTTAACTAGCATATTAATAAAATTCTTCTTAGTATACATCTCAAGAGTTTTGTTTCTTTATCTCTTTCTTTGTAAACAAGCGGCCTCTATATTTTTAGTAGTGAATTTCAAAATCCTTTTTAACCTTATAGGTCCAAGGGTAGCCAAGGATGGCTGCAGCTTCATATGATCAGTTGTTAAAGCAAGTTGAGGCACTGAAGATGGAGAACTCAAATCTTCGACAAGAGCTAGAAGATAATTCCAATCATCTTACAAAACTGGAAACTGAGGCATCTAATATGAAGGTATCAAGACTGTGACTTTTAATTGTAGTTTATCCATTTTTATTCAGTATTCCTTCTTGTAAACTTGGAGTTAGACATTTCACTTACTTAAAAGTATATTTTAAGTTAAGCAGTAATATGTAAACTCTTTTCTTACAAATGTTAACATTTATACTTTTAAATAAAATGTATTGGATTTATCCAGTGAATCATATAAAGAAAATGAGTATAAAACCTCAGAAAGTAGTTAGTTCTTATTTTTAAGCTTAAGCATCACTTTAATATTACTCTGCTGAGTCTGGGTGTTTTATGTAATTCATAGAAACTAGCTCAATTATTAAATATGGTCTTCCTTCCCACACTGTCAGATCTCATTGCCACTTAAATGCTGCATTGCTAGATTATCAAGAATATTAGGGTGTCCTAGTGGGAGGAGTCCTGAATAAAAGTCAGTACCTGGTGTCGTCACAAGCTAAGCTGCATCACATTCAGGCCCTCTTCTAGACTTATGTTTAGGTTGCCGTATTAGGAAAAAACAGACATTGCACTAGCCTAGAGGATTTCCATGGTGCCTTCAAGCCCTAAAATTGATTTGCCAAATAGCATTGAAAAGCAGTATAATCTCCAAGAAGAGTTATGAAATATTTAGTCTACAGTGGAGAAAATATGTTCTAATTTAAAAATAATTGAGGTTAAAACTTTAGCTGTTTTAATTTTTAATTACTTATGTAGATTTCCTTCTCTCTCAATTTAATAATAACTTTTTAGAATAGGAGATCATTAATAAAATTCTTATTACTTCCTTCCCTTTAAAAAAATTCTTCCTGCTTTAATGTTGTTTCTGCCCCTAGGCTATTTTAACATCTGGGTTCTTGACCCTATTCTTTCTGCCTGTTCACTATTCCTATTTCTTATTCATTGTCTATTCTCTTCAAAGTCCTTTTTCTATGCATTTTGAAGTTGCCTTTATTCTTCAAGCTTCTGTTTATCACTGAACTGTTTTTGCTCCTCTCTTACCCTTTGTATTCAGTATCAAAACAGTTCAACCTTTTTACTCGTGTATTATTCTGTCTATGAATCACTTCTACTCTAATTGCCTATTTCTGTTGTAAAAACTATCCCCAGAAATGACAGATCTCCAATCCTTCTGGAAATAAGACTGTAAACAGACATTTTGTTACCACAAACTATGGGTGACCTTAAAAACAGCTGAATTGATTATTTAATAGGTTAAAAAAGAATAGTTTGGTATTTCAACACTGATCAACACAATGTATCTAAAATTGTTTTACACTGGCTGTGTTTTTAAATGTTTTACACAAAATTAAGAATTCCCAACAGTACTGTTCTTTCGTCTACTTTGCAGAGAGTTCCTGGCTGGCCTATCTGAATGTCTGCTTTGTAGTGTAGAGCTCTGAGATGGATTTAAAAATTTTTAACTACTTAAACACATTCAGAAGTCATTTTTGGGAGACATTTTAACCTATCCTTCAATCCTTCTGCATGCTGAAGTGAAATGTTAAAATAAATAACAGTCATACCCTTAAATTTCTATAATGTAATATCATGTTGACAACTTATTTGGGTGATACAATAATATATATCACAAATATGGGCATTTAAGGTATATCTGAATCCAACCATGAATTGATAATTACTCAGCATGTGCCTCTGCAAGACATCCTTGCTAATCCATACGCTCATTTAGGACTGAGCATATGGTATCATAGCAGTTATACAATCTATAAGGAAATTATTTATGTATCTCCTCCTTAAGATGCTTTAAGCTGTTAAAGAGCAGAAACCATGACCTCCCTATTTTGTTTTTGAAAATTGATTGTGAAAAGACACTTGGAAACATTGGCACTTCTTTGGTTGGATTAAAGTTTACGCAAGACAGTGGTTATTCTCCCTCCTCCCAAAATCACTTACTAGACCATAATACATTGTACAATCTTGAATCATGTTTCCCAATCATTAAGCTATTTATCCCAAAGAAAGGCTAGTAGTACCATCTAGTGGCGAAAGAGAATACTGTTTGATGTTGATTAAATGGCATTGATACAAGCTATACAAATGTTTTTGTGTGCCACAGCAAAACAGGTGCACAACACCGTGAGCACTGGCTATATATTTAAAAATATTAAGGAAAAGTTTGTTTTTTAGGTATAATTATGACATTGTTGTTGTGTTTAGAAAGAATCCCTGTTTAAATATATGTATTGAAATACGCGTATTTACAGAAGACATGATACGATGTCTGATAATTGTTTTCAAAATAAGTCTGGATGGAAGGGGGGAAATGGAGAAGAAAGCAGATGTGTGTAGCTGAAACAAGACCATGAGTTGATAACTGTTGAAGCAGGATGTGAAGATATGTGGGAGTTCGTTATAATGTTCTCTAAACTCATGTACATGTGTGACATTTTCTGTAATAAAAATAAAGTATAATAGAGATTTCATCAGATTTAGTTGACCTGGAATCAGATAAATGCAGAAATTGTAATTAAACTTTAATGAAGTACACACTGTCTTTTTTACGCCAGAGCTATGATTCAGCTTCATTGATTGCAAATGCTGAGCGTAGCAACATGATACTTAGTCATGTGGAGATGTGCAGTATTTAAACTAAAAGATGGCAAGGTGTAGAAAAAATTATCTGTAGGCAAATTATTAAAGAACTAAATTTCTCTATAAGCTTTAAAACTATATACATGTAAAGTATCTTCTATTTTCCGAGTGTAAGGAAAAATGAGAATAAATATTCAGTAGACATTTCATCATTTATTTTGGATATTTAATTATCAAGCATATGTATATCTGATAATGAGAAGACTCTATAACTGTGATGTATTGAGAAAAACAGAAGTGAGTCAAGTAGCAACCCCCATGAAATGACAGTTGCTCGTGGATAAATATTTTCTATCACTGATACTACCACACCATATTTTGTCTCTAAAAAATGATTTTCCAACATTCTATAATCTTACAAATGTTTTTAAAATAAAGGCAGGTAAAACAATATGTAATCTTACAATGCTTGAGAGAGACAGATCTCCTAGAGGAAAGGGGCCTGTATCAAACATGGCTGGTTTTTCTTTATATAAGGTAAGTGTCAAATTTTGGAGTTGTGTAAGGTGAGTGGCCAAGGGCTGAGGAGACAGAAACTTGTAATGTTTGTAGTCTTAAGTTTGAAGGAGAAACACACTCAAGGATCTTGGCAAATCAGATCAAGAGAAGGATTTAGATGGGAAAGGAATAATGACATCAAATTCAGGAGGCAAAGTGCATACATCCATTTAAACATCTGAATGTAAATTAGTATACTATAAGAACATACTTAAATGTGAACATATAAAAGCTTGAATATTTTTAGGGTGTTACATAGACTATTATAATGTGTTAATTTGATGGTTTTCGTGGTCATGGTGGTGCAAGCCTCAGAGACAGGGATTCTGAATACCTAACCTCACTGAGGTTTGGTCATTTTCTAATTTTTTTTATTTTTATGTAATTTTTTAAAGATTCTTCTACTTACTCTTTTACCAGTTGTGTCTTCAGGAACACTTGTAGAATTTTGTCATGTCCCTATATTGTATTCGTTTTTACAGGAAGTACTTAAACAGCTTCAAGGAAGCATTGATGATGAAGCTATGACATCTTCTGGACAGATTGATTTATTAGAGCGCCTGAAAGGTACATTTTTAAAAGTGTTTTTAAAGTAATTTTTTAAGCTTCAGTTGTCAGTTTTAGGTATGTATACCCAAGTTATATTTAGGTGCCATTATCAGTTTCTTGATAGAACAGCCTGAGGATGTAATTGTTAAAGTATGAATATGTCAGAAGTCTATTTTCTTGTTATTTCTTCAGTTAAACATTTTACTGGCTTTGAGTAAACTATTTGAAATGCCTTTCTTAATAATTTTAAGCTCTTTTAATAGCTCATTGCCATTCTGCCAGTCACTAACTAGACCTTAGCACAAACTGGGCCCATTGCCTCAGGTGAAGTCCTGTCCTTTGTTCCATCCGGGATACAAATGCTTTATCCTCTCACATACATAAGCTAATTATAAGCCATTTCTAGCAGAATTTTAAAACAATGTCTCCTTTTGTTGCTTAAAAATTCCAGTGTCAAAATAGGGAAAATGATTAATTATTATTGAAGCTAGGCAAAAAAGTTTTGGTCCTTAAGTATATTATTATCTAGCATGAATCTAAGGGAGGATATTTTGTCTAATTATCCTTTAACATACTCCTTTTCCCCCTGACTCAGGTTGACTTGGGAGGGGAAGTTTAGCCATTCTGTTTCTAAATAATTGTGTATTCAGTCATGCATATTTGTTGTTTCCTGTGTTAAACATTTGTACACTTCTGAACCAGGAAGTGTCGATGCTCTTTTATAGAGTTGATACTTCAGTACACTGTCCTTTTGCAGGATCTCAGATACCCTGCCTCATTGAGACTCAGCCATTTTCTGAGTTGATACTTCAGTACACTGTCCTTTTGCAGGATCTCAGATACCCTGCCTCATTGAGACTCAGCCATTTTCTGAGTTTATTTTTAGGATTCTTCTACTTATTCCCTCTCCTATCTTTACATTTCCCTAGAACCAGGAGTCAGTGACTTTCTCTGGGCATCAGCATTTGCGATAAGGATTTTCTCTGCTCCCTGCATGAATTGGCTGATCAAGGGCTGTCACATTTAGTATTCCTATAGACTTCATGTAATATATATACCATATATATATACCATATATATGGTATTTTCAATTATATTATAAAATGGATTAAAATTGAGGGGTAAATATTAACCTAAGATTTCACTTTTAAAATAATGTAATCACATTAGACTACTTAAAACAGTTGCTATATTAAAACATGTTTCTATTTTTTTTAGAGCTTAACTTAGATAGCAGTAATTTCCCTGGAGTAAAACTACGGTCAAAAATGTCCCTCCGTTCTTACGGGAGCCGGGAAGGGTCTGTATCCAGTCGTTCAGGAGAGTGCAGTCCTGTTCCTATGGGTTCCTTCCCAAGAAGAGGGTTTGTAAATGGAAGCAGAGAAAATACTGGTTATTTAGAAGAACTTGAGAAAGAGAGGTAACTTTTTTTCATTAAATATCAAACATTAACTTGTATGCTCCAATTTTTGCTATTATTCTGTAATATAAGATATAAATTACAAAGCACATATGATGGGTGACCACTAACACTTAGGAAACATTTTGCATTTATTAACTCAAAGATGGTATGTGACTGTCCTTAAACTAAATCTAAAAATTTTAAGGAAGCAGTTTCTTGGAATTGTGGGACTTCTGTTTTTTTCACTTAAATACTATGAACGCTCTGCACATTGGGTCCTACACATGATCACAATTTCTGTGGTTAAAAATATATAACCAATATTTAATTGCATTTCTGGTTATCTTTTGAACTATAGTATAAAATGACTATTTCCAATATGGAAGGCCTATTACAAGTGCCACAAATGAAACATTTCTTAATTTATCAATTTCCATGTTGAAAAACATTGCTTGACACATGGAATGAGTCCTGGTTTCTCACAGCTTGTGTATTCTCTTCCTGCAGTTCAAATTATCTCATTACAGACATCATAATACACATCATTATCAAGAACTTCATCAAGTATTCATGTCTCCTAAAAGATTATAAATTCTTCAATGCATGAATGAAACCTTACCTTTATATTTTTAAAACTTTTATTAGTCATTATGTTAACATGTATAAGTGTTACATTCTAGCTCTGGAACCTTAGTCAAGTCTTTGAATTTTGGTATCATTTTCTTCTATAAAACAGGGATATGATTCTACCTTGTAGAGTTGTGAAAGTTGAATGTTACCATGTGAGAAATGCCCAGCATATCTCACTAAGAAGCAAAAGACCTTTTATTACTTTCTCTCTGGTTTTAGGTATGTTCATCTACAAAAATAGGGGTAATCATCTGGACCAGTAGTGTTAAGCTTTCTTTCATCTGTCAAGTTCACATGAGTCTATTTTGTACCTTGAACCTGGACTGTTTTTGTCTTTGACAGTGTAGGAAATACTATGCTGAAAAATAAGAAACTAACTAGGATCCATGGTCTTTCATTTCTTTGTCCCCTTTGAGCTCTATTAAGAGGCAAACAACATTAAATGAGCATACCGACTTTCCTAGGAACTTTGCTTTATGTAGATAAAGTTCTGATTTTATTGAGAAAGAGAGAGAGAGGGAGGAAGGGTGAAAGAGAGGGGTGAGGGTGTTTGTGTGTGTAGATCTAATATATCTTGTGTCCTTTCAGTTCCCACTATGTTGGAGGGAAGAAAATTGAGACCTTGCTTATTTGACAATATCTTTATTTTGCTCTCACACTTGATTGGTGGTTGGTCTAGGTCTAAATCCAAACTCATTTTTCCTCTTAGAAGCTTTTACAGTGCCTTGGTGTTTGCATTGTCTTATCATGCTGGATACTAGCATGCCATTTTTACCTGAATTTTGGGGTTTTTTAGTTTTTGAAAATTCTGTTATTTCTTTGATAATGTTCTCCCCTTAGTTTTTTCTATTCTTTCATTCTAGATCTCTCTTAAAGTCATAGATTAATTCTCTCTGTCTCTCTCTCTGTCTCTCTTTTTTTCCTGTATTTCACAAGTTAAGTGCTAGTAAGTAGTAACACCAGGATTCAAACCCAGGTCCATACCTCTGTAAGCTTTTTGAACCTCAGTTTTCCAGTCTGTAGAATGAGATTTTAAAATCTGTAGATTTTTTAAAAGCCCTTAGCACTGTGCCCTGTATAGAGAGCATTCAACAAGTGCTCCTAATTGTCACATTAGCCATTAACTTACTTAACAAATATTTACTAAATACCTAATACATATGTGTCATGTTCTTCTAGGTGACTATGGATTAGCTAGAGGACTAAGAAGATATGAGGTTTATGTAAAGAAGCATTTTTAAAGATGACTATTCACAACCACTAAATAAGCCATCAGAGTTCTAAACCTTAAAGACCTATCTGTTTCTGGGTCTAGACCAAGTTTCATTTCCTAGCCTTAATCACTACTCTGTGAATTACAAGGTCAACTATAGTAACGACTTTGTCCCTATTTTCCCTAACCTCCTCTTCACTCCACCACCATCAGTAACATTGGTCTATCAATTTAAGCACTTTACCTACCCAGCTCTTATTTCATAAGCCCATTTATTAAAGAGTAATCAGAGAATCACCATCCATCTCTCTCTCTTTTCCCCACTTTAGTCCCAATGGGTCCTGCAGGTCCTCACCAAGGAAAGCTGAAAAATGGAATCATGTCTTACCTTTACACTGGTTTGGTGCTCAGCTTTTGAAAGGGGCTCAGACTTTCTACAGTGTTTTTTCCTGCTTCTGTTGTTAGGAAGGGAAGGAAGTAGCAGCTTCTCATTCGTCTACCAAGGTTGTTACATTGTAAACAGGGGCTTACTTCCTTGCCATGGACTCCCTCACAGTCAAGGTTACCACATCAAAGTGAAGACTTATTTCTTATTTTAAAAATTGCTTCTCGAGGGAAGGGAATTTTAGAAACAATAGAACCTTCTACATACATGCATACACATTTTTCCAAGAAATTATAATCAAACAGGATTTTAAAGGAACTATCCAAGTAGGGAACATCTCTGTGTTTGAGCAAACTCCAGGAGCCAAAATGGAAAATATCCACAAATCTGACTACAAGAATTTCAAAAAAATCTTACGTGGCCAGATTGTAAACAAAGTTAAAAGATAAGGGATAAACTGAGAAATTAATATTTGCAACCCATATAATAGTGTACTGTTACTCTTAACACAGAAAAGGTACTATAAGAAAAAGTCACAGACAAGAAAATACAAATGGTTATTAAAAAATGCTTCCCCTAGCCCTGGCTGGCGTAGCTCAGTGGATGGAGCACAGGCTGGGAACCAAAGTGTCCCAGGTTCAATTCCCAGCCAGGGTACATGCCTGGGTTGCAGGCCATAACCCCCAGCAACCGCACATTGATGTTTCTCTCTCTCTCTCTCTCTCTCTCTCTCTCTCTCTCTCTCTCTCTCTCTCTCTCTCTCTCTCTCTCTCTCTCCCCCCTTCCCTCTCTAAAAAATAAATAAATAAAATCTTTAAAAAAAATGCTTCCCCTCACTCATACTAACAGAAAAGAAGTTAAAACCATTGTGATAGACTGTTTTGGGAGGAAAAACAACCTAGATTTACAGCAGTAAAAAAGTTTGATAAAACATTTACATTGGTGAAGGTAATAGGTGCATAAATAACATCTATTAAGTGTATTCTGTTAAAAATTTAAATACCCTAGAAGTTTCCTTATATACATGCTTGCACATTTGTGACATGAGGTTATGTGTAAGGATGTGCCATGCAGCATTCTTTATAATAGCAAAAGGTTGGAAAGGTCCTAAATGCCCTCTAATACAGGACTGGCCATGGACTCAGGAGTACTATGGAATGTATGCAGTACTATGCCCCGGGACAGAAATACATAGGACCTGTATGTTTTTATATAAAATTATCTCCAAGGTAGATTTTTAGTGAAAAATTACTTATGGGACAACACATGTGGAACTATTTATGTTTAAGAATATACATATATCCTTGCGATTTTATAAAATATTTGTGGAAAGACACACAAGAAAATAGTAATGGTGGTAGCTTTGGGAAAGAGCCACTTGGAAGGGGGCCACACACCTTTTTATTTTATTTATTTATTTACTATTTATTTATTTATTTATTTATTTATTTATTTATTTATAGAGGGGAAGGGAGGAAGAAAGGGAGACAAACAGTGATGTGTGGGAGAATCACAGATTGGCTGCCTCTCACACACCCTGAAGTGGGGACCTGGCCCACAACTCAGGCATGTGCCCTGACTGGGAATTGAGCTGGCAACCTTTTGATTTACAGGACAATGCCCAACCCACTGAGCTACGACAGTCAGGGAAAAGGGTCATATACTTCTTGTGTCAACTAAGTTTTATGTCAGTAACACTCTTATTTTGCATTTCTGTTTATAATGATCAGATGGACTATCTTGATATACATTGTTACTAGGAAAACATTGATTGGGAAGTTGAGAAATTACATAAATTCATCTTAAAATTCCAAACTAAGAAAAATTTTGTCTCCCTCAGAATAACTTCCTCTTATTGCACAGTGACAGTGTATTTTTTATTATTTTGGCTGCTGAAAAGCAAAGAACTACGTCTGTGTCCAGTGCAGTAGCTTCTAATACTCTAGGTTTCTTTTCTACATAACTACTATTTTTCTTTTCCCCTTTATTATACCTTCTTTTCTTATATTGACTTGGTTTTGTCATAAATGTACTTTTTACTATAAACCATCATCATGTTCTTAGTCTATAAATGAATGTGAAGACAATACTTTTGGTGAAGTGTGAATATTCTAGTAAGGTTGATTTAGTCTCTCATTTAGCTGAAAAAGTAAAAAAAAAGCTTTTTAATATTCAACTTTAAATGATTGTATTATTAAGTCCCATCTTCAAAAATCCAAAATCAGTGTTTTTCATTTATTCATTAGTATTAATACTATAGCTTAAAGAGAGAACTTCACAGTAACAGTAATAAGAATTGTTTTTATATACTCTATATTAACATTGTGTGACCTTAACCTTTTTTTTTTTTTTTTGAACAGATCATTACTTCTTGCTGATCTTGACAAAGAAGAAAAGGAAAAGGACTGGTACTATGCTCAACTTCAGAATCTCACTAAAAGAATAGATAGTCTTCCTTTAACTGAAAATGTAAGTAATTTGGCAATATGACTTATTTTAGACTTTAATAACTTGATTTTTTAAAGTACCTAAATTATATATTAAAAATCTATAATTGCATTTATAGTTATGTATAAACTAAAATATGTTTTATCTAACTTTAAATATATAATAGTTAATGAATTTTTGTTTATAAAGATGAGAAAACTTCATTGTGCTCAAGCCCTGAGTTAAGAAAATCTAAGTTTGAATCCTAAAGAACACAGGATTCAGCTGTGCAGGTGGTTTTTTATTCTCTGTATGTTGAATTGCCAAACATTACTCTGCAGAAGTGTTTATCACCATCTGTCTGTTTTTTGAACCATTCTATAGGAATTATGCCAGATAGTTTTTGAATAAAAAATCTTTGAAGATCTATAACTGGAATATAACTTTATATGTAACCCTAGTGCTATTTCAGTTATTATAATAGTGATTTCAGGGACCTTAGAACTTTTTGCATGTGCTAAAATTTCTTTGTTTTGCAGAATTAACTATAAAAGAGAATTTAATCTTGTCACCCTCTCCCTCCCCACCCAACTTCATGTTGACTATCTTAATTCATGGGGGAGGCACATATAAGAACATTTCTGAAATATATTAATTTCAAATAAGACTATATTTCAGCTATTCATAAATATGTTTTGTAATTTTTAAAAATGTATATTTTAAGAAGATATACTTAGAATATATCTTCCTCTTAGCTTGGATTTTTCACTTTCTAATAGCACTGTGAAAGGAATATAGTGAACAAAAAGCAAAAACAGAAAGAAGAAAAACTTTTTCCAAAACCTGTAGTTAGCCAGGTTTCCTGAGTGGGCATTGTCTGGCAGGAGCTAGAACTAGAAACTTAAGTGCTTAGTCCCTTGGGACAATCTTTAAGGTTATGAGAGGGAGAGAGAAGATGTCCCTTTCTCAGAGTGTCCTTAACACCTTCCTGGGAATTAAGGAGACTCACATAGTGAAAAGACAGTTATTGGAGAGTTGTTAGCAGGCAAGGATTAGGAACTCAGGAAGGTTTGGCAAGATTTTCACTCTTATAAACAAAAATACCAAAGTATAGTTGTTCATAATTCACTTTGGTAATTAGAACATACAAAATTTAGAGGCTAACTGTCTGCATGTAGTCAGGTTCAGGAAGGGGTCCAGATCTGTGACAACTTGAGCAATTGGCTAATATCATGTAAGATATTATTATGGGTAATTTAGCACCATTAGCCAATTTAAATTGCTTGCATTTTCTAAATATTTTTTAAATTTTACAAATTCTTTTAATATTGGGAAGTCAAGTTAACACTTTCATATGGAAATATGTGTCAAGATACAGACATTGCTTTTAAAATATCAGCTCTAAAGCACATTTCTGCTACATACTGATCATCTTTCTTTGCATGGAGTTTGGGAGGTGGAGGAAATATGAGTGGAGTTACAGCTGGCTCATTGGGAATTAAATAACATGCAGACTTTCTTCTATATGGTAGCCCATAATTTGGGTCTGCCTGTGGGAATACATTCTGCATACGAGAGGGAAAAGGATCAGAATCCCCTCTACATTAACTGATAATTTTGGAATCCCTGACCTCACAGAATGCTATTCCGAGTCAGATGTGTCTCACGCAGCTTTCTATTGGGCATAAAAAGCATGAAAAAACTATAGCACTTCCTTATTTTCCTCATATAGCACATTAAATTACCTATTTTATTTAATCATATTTTTTAGCCTTTATTACTACCTCTTGGGCCATGTGTTTATTAAGTTTCATTACTTTGTCCTTTTCATCTTTTCAAATGCCTAATAGTTGTCATAGTATCTAAAATTTTAATTAGGGGGTTAATAAATTTTAAATGAATTAACATTCTGTGAAGAAGTACTTCTATTTGTTTCCATTTTGCTTCACTTTTGTATTTTACCAAAAAGTTTATGATTTAAAAGTTTAAGTTGTCCTCATGATTTATAAATACTGATATTACATAAAAGATTTTTCTTATCCTATTTTCTTCATTTTAAAAATGGAGAAGTCCTCTCTGTTTAGTCTGCATATATATGATAATCCTTACCTTAAGTTGAGGTATAAACTTAAGGATGATGCATCTGTTTTTTTATTTTTCTATGTTGTCCACATTAATATGCTAGCTTTTAATCATTAAAAGTACTACCTCTTCAGTGAAGAAGAATCATGAGGGAACTTAGATAGGCTTACTGGACCAGTTATGTATATTAAGTGAAATAGTACAATTTAGTTAACGACATTTGTGGCTATGGGGCAATAAAAATGTTTCAATTTTGCATTTTACATCTGGGACCCAGACTGAGCCTAGCACCTAAAATCTAAGCTTTAGGGCTCCTTGGAGTAAAATACAATTTTCTTATTCACCATAACTTATACATATTTGCTTGTTCATTTTTGTTGTTGGTATTTATGTGCTTTTCTTTACTTTTACTGATAAACACAAATATAAGATATTAACATTTTAATTTTATTTGTGGTTTCAGTTTTCCTTACAAACAGATATGACCAGAAGGCAATTGGAATATGAAGCAAGGCAAATCAGAGTTGCAATGGAAGAACAACTAGGAACGTGCCAAGATATGGAAAAACGAGCACAGGTAACTGATTTATTATTCAGCTAGAACCAGCATTAGCTAAACTATTAGTTCATTTTCACTTTGGCACTATTTCAAAATAAGAATAATATACCATGGCTGTTGGGCAACATAACCAGTGTTCACGTAATTCTGCCTCCACTACATTTCATTTTCCTGATATTGTTCTGCTTTGCCTTGGAATTCTAGGAGGGAAAGAGTTAGATGCTGATTATCTGGTAGCTGATAGCTAGTTCCACTTCTCCTTTGAAATGTTTACTTCTTGTAATCTAGGTACATGTAATGGCATGCACAATACTGCTTTTCAAGTTGTACACTTAAAAAAAGGGTGGGGAGACCTTATTGAAGGAAGTAGGATAGAAACATATAAAGAGAACATTGGGAAACATGTTGGATAGAGAACACTTCCAATATTTCTACCTTCACCTAAAGTCAAGGAAGAATATTAACTGGCTTTGTTATTTGTTAAGCATTTCCATATATTGAATTTAGACCTTTTATGTTCCCACGAATATATTACTAATATTTTTAAGCCCTGAAGAGGCTTTGCCGATTGCCTTGTCTATTTCTTTTCTTTTTTTTTTTAATAAGAGAAGGTTTATTTAGAAAGTCACAGAGGTAGAAAAGGTGAGCCAGCTGGGCTGTGTGGGCTCAGGAAACAAGTTACATAGGCAAAAGGAGGACAGGCCCTTGGAACTTAGGAGAAAGAAAGGCAAAGGTAATGTATCTGGGGAAAGAGGAGATGGAAAGGTGAGGGTGTACCTCAGAAAGAGAAAGAGCACATGCTGAGTCCTCTGTCCTGAGGGTTTTTATATCTGCTTTCTTTGTTATGTTTTGTTTGTACTGATTTTATTATTTTTTCATTACCATTTAGTCCCCTTATACCTCCCCCTGCCCCAGCAATCACCACACTATTGTCCATGTCCATGAGTCCTTTTTCCATTTTGCTCAATCCCTCTACCCTCTAACCTCCACTCCCTTAGCTGTCATCCTGCCCTCCATCTGTGAGTCTGTCTCTATTTTGTCTGTTGGTTCAGTTTGTTCTTTAAATTTCACATATGAGTGAAATCATATGGTATTTGTCTTTCTCTGACTGGCTTATTTCACTTAGCATAATGTTCTCCAGGTCCATCCATACTGTCTTAAAGGGTAAAATTTTCTTCTTTTTACAGCTGATGAGTATTCCACTGTGTAAATGCCCCATAGTTGTTTTATCCACTCATCTACTGATGGGCACTTGGGCTGCTTCCATATCTTGGCAGTTGTAAATAATGGGTGCAATGAACATAGGGGTGGTTAAGTTCTTTTGAATTAGTGTTTTGGGTTCGTTTGGATATACTCCCAGAAGTGGGATCATTGGATTAAAAGGCAGATCCATTTTGTATTTTATTAAGTACTTTTTTTTTTAAGATTTTTGTTTATTTATTTTTAGAGAGGGAAGGGAGGGAGAAAGAGAAAAACATCAATGTGCAGTTTCCGGGGGTCATGGCCTGCAACCCAGGCATGTACCCTGACTGGGAATCGACCTGCGATACTTTGGTTCGCAGCCCGCGCTCAATCCACTGAGCTACACCAGCCAGGGCTTTAATTAAGTACTTTTATTGATTATGCTATTGCATGATCAATTTTCCTAATCCCCCCCCATTACTCCCCCTATACCCTGCACACCCAACCCTCCATAATTCCCCTTCTTTAGTTCATGTCCATGGGTTGAACATATAACCTGTTTGAGTTCTCTGTTTCCTATACTGTTTTTATCTCTCCCCATCTATTTTATGCCTACTAATTATGCTTCTTCCCTGTACCTTTTTACCCCATTCCTTCCTTCTCCCTCCCCACTGAAAACCCTCCATGTGATGTCTATTTCTCTGAATCTATTTCTGTTCTAGTCGTTGGCTTAGTTTTTGTTTTTGTTGTTTTTCTTTTCTTTAGTTTCATTTGTTGATAGTTGTGAGTTTGTTATCATTTTATTGTTCATATTTTGTATCTTTTTCTTAGATAAGTCCCTTTAACATTTCATGTAATAATGGCTTGGTGATGATGCACTCCTTTAACCTGACCTTATCTGGGGAGCACTTTATCTGCCCTTCCACTCTAAATGAAAGCTCTGCTGGATAGAGTAATCTTGGATGTAGGTCCTTGCCTTTCATGACTTCAAAAACTTCTTTCCAGCCCCTTCTTGCCTGCAAGGTTTCTTTGGAGAAATCAGCTGACAGTTTTATGGGCACTCCCTTGTAGGTAACTATCTTCCTTCCTCTTGCTGCTTTTAGGATTCTCTCTTTATCTTTAATCTTGGGTAACTTGATGATGTGCCTTGGTGTGTTCCTCTTTGGGTCCAACCTGTTTGGGACTCTCTGGGCTTCCTGGACTTCCTGGAAGTCTATTTCCTTCACCAGATTGGGAAAGTTTTCCTTCATTATTTGTTCAAATAAGTTTTCAATTTCTTGCTGTTGTTCTTCTCCTTCTGGCACCCCTATAATTCAGATACTGGAACGTTTCAGGTTGTCCCAAATGTTCGTAAGTCTCTCTTTTTTGAGTTCTTGTTTCTTCATTCTGTTCTGGTTGGATGTTTATTTTTTCCCTTTTGTTCTAACTCATTGCTTTGAGTCCAGGTTTCCTTCCTGTCACTGTTGGCTCCCTGAATATTTTGCTTTATTTCATTTTGGGTATCTTTCATTTGTTGTTTTTTTTTTTCATTTTTCGACCAAGCTCAATCAGTTCTGTGAGCATTTTGATTACCAGGATTTTAAATTCTCCATCAGATAGGTTGGCTATCTCCTCATCGCTTAGCTCTCTTTCTGGAGTTTTACTCTGTTCTTTCATTTGGGCCATATTTCTTTGTTTGGGGCACCTGTTAAGTTGCAAGGGGGTGGGGCCTTAGGTATTCAATAGGGCAGGGCAACCCTCCCGGTCCTGCGCTGCGCTGCGGCACTGCCTGTAGGGGAGGAGCCAGAGCGGGAACAATGGAGCTCACCTGCTCCTCTCTAGTGCGCTTTCCAACAGGACTCTCAGACTCTCCTGTGAGACTGGGAGTTTCTCCCACCACGACACACGACACACTGTCGTAGTCCACAGCCAGCTCTGAGTCTCAGTTTGCTTTCAGCCAGCCCCTCCCGCAGGGTCTGCTACCTCGCCATGGGTTCTAACCAGTCTGGTTGTTCTGGTTGACTTTTTCTTTAATTCCTTGGCTGTCGGAGTTCCATGCCATTTGATTTTCTGGCACTTCTGGTCATTTATTGATTTTAAATTGGTCATTATCCTCCTTTTGGTTGTACAAGAAAGCAAAGGGTTTCTACCTACACCTCCATCTTGGCCAGAACTCCCATTATTAATTTTTTGAGGTATCTCCATACTGCTTTCCACAGTAGCTGCACCAATCTTCACTCCCACCAACAGTCCGAAGGGGTTCCCCTTTCCCCACATCACCAACATTTGTTGTTTGTTGATTTCTTCATAAGAGCCATTCTGCCCCTGTGGGAGGCAATATATCATTATGGTTTTAATTTGCATTTCTCTGATGATTAGTGACATTTGAGTATCTTTTCATATGTCTATTGGCCTTCTGTATGTTCTCTTTGGGGAAGTGTCTATTCAGGACCTTTGCCTATTTTTTAATTGGGTTGCTTGTTTTTTAGTATTGAGTTTTGTGAGTTCTTTAAAAATTTTGGATATTTAACCTGTTATCCGATGTATCGTGGATATGTTCTTCCATTCTGTGGATTGTCTTTTTATTTTGTTGATGTTTTCCTTTGCTGTGCAAAAAACTTTTTAGTTTGATGTAGTCTCATTTTTTTTCTTTTGTTTCCCTTTCCTGGGGACATCTATTCAATAAAATACCACTATGAGCAATGTCTGAAATTTGCTGTCCATGTTTTCTTCTATGATTTTTATAGTTTAAGTTGTAGCAATTAAGTCTTTGATCCATTTTGAATTTATTCTTGTGTGGTGTAAGAAGGTAGTCTAGTTTCATTTTTCCACGTGTATCTATCCAGTTTTCCCAACACCATTTATTGAATTAACTATCTTTAGCCCATTGTATGTTCTTGCTTCTTCTGATGAATATTAATTCACTATAAAAGTATGGGTTTATTTCTGGGCTCTCTATTTTGTTCCACTGATCTATGTGTCTGTTTTTATGCCAGTACCATGCTGTTTTGATTACTATGGCCTTATAGTATAGTTTGATATTAGGTAGCATAATTCCTCTAACTTCGTTCTCTTTCACAGGATCGCTGTTGCTATGCCAGGCCTTCTGGTGTTCTATATTAATTTTTGAAATATTTGTTGTAGAAATATGCCATTGGAATCTTGATAGGAATTTCATTAAATCTATAAATTACTTCTGATAGTATGATCATTTTAATGATGTTATTTCTTCCTATCTGAACATGGTATGTGCTTCCACTTATTTGTATCTTCTTCAGCATCTTACAGATTTCTGACTACAGGTCTTTTACATCCTTGGTTAGGTTTATTCCTAGGTATTTTATTCTTTTTGTAGCACTTGGGAATGGAATTGTTTTCTTAATTTCCCTTTCTGTTAATTCATCATTGGCATATAAAAATGCAACTGATTTCTGGATATTAATTTTTGTATCCTGCTACTTTGCTGAATTAATTTATCAGGTCTAGTACTTTCTTGGTAGAATCTTTGGAGGTCTCATGTATAGTATCATGTCATCTGCAAATTAAAGTTTTACTTCTTCCTTTCCAATTTGAATACCTTTTATTCCTTGTTCTCATCTGATTGCTATGGCTTGGACTTCCAGTCCTATGTTGAATAAGAGAGGTAAATGTGGACATCCTGTCTTAGTCCCAATCTTGAAGGGAATGCTTATAGTTTTTGCCCATTGAGTATGATACTGACAGTGGGTTTGTCATATATGGCTTTTATTATGTTTAGTTACTTTCCCTGTAATCCCACTTTGCTGAGAGTTATTGTGAATGGGTGCTATATTTCACCAAACATTTTTTCTGCATCTGTTGGTATGGTCATGTGTTTT